AATCCCAACTGAAGGTACAGAAAATATAATTCTCGCTGGCAGGACAAGCTAAAGCTCACTTTTTTCACTGAACATGAGAAAGTGGGGAAGGGGTATGTAAGTAAGAAAAGTAGGGGTTTAAAGCTGTTCAATTGTTAAGATGTGCTGACATTGTTTGATATAAAATTGTTTAAGACTTAAGATGTGAAATGGAGTTGATAAAAATGTTTTTTAAAATAAAGCACTTAATTTTGAGATGTATATTTTTAAAAAAAGCTCTATTATGTATTTAATTTTTAAATGCAGCCTTTATTTTAACTTAAATATAGAAGTTATTATAAGAGAAGTCTACTTTTTATTTATATCCCGCCAGTTTAATGTGAAAACGTACAGTAAATTGTTAAACTTTTATTGAATTTGTATTTTTATTTTGTCGATTGTTGACTACATACATATGTTGATACATCTAGGCTATGGTACTGAATGATAACACAAGTTAGTCAATATGATGTTCCGTACCTTTGCTTGAGGAAATTTTATCTAACTGGACCGCTTTGAATTTTAAATGAATTCCCCTGCCATAGAGAATCTATGGTGTGTTGTCAAGAGGAAAGTGAGAGACACCAGACCAACAGTACAGACGAGCTGAAGGCCGCTATCAAAGCAACCTGGGATCCATAACACCTCAGCAGTGCTACAGGCTGATTGCCTCCATGCCACGCCGCATTGAGGCAGTAATATGTGAAAAATGAGCCACAACCAAGTACTGAGTGCATAAATGACCCTTTCCAGAAGTTTTAAACTTCTCAGAAGAAAAATATCTGTTTTATACATTCTTTATTCTAATTTTTGGAGATATGGATTTTTGATTTACATGACTTTTAAGCAGTAATCCTCAAGATTAAAACAAAAAGGCCTGAAATATTTCAAATCAGGAACATCCTGTCTAAAAATGATGCAGAAAAACTTGTCCATGCATTTGTTACTTCTAGGCTGGATTACTGCAATTCCCTATCATCAGGCTGCTCGAAAAAGCTGATCAGCTGATTCAGAATGCTGCAGCACGTGTTCTGACAGGAACCAGGAAAAGAGATCACATTTCTCCTGTCTTAGCTTCTCTGCATTGGCTTCCTGTAAAATCCAGAATAGAATTTAAAATCACCAGGAAGTCCGCCATGTTTTGCCAAATTGACATAGCGCCTAGCCGTTTAATTAATCTTCCAGGTCTGTGATATAATGCACACTGGCCCAAAAAGACTTTTTTGAAAATGGCTGTAAAATGGTGGATGATAATTTTTTGAGAGTCAAATCCACACAAAATGATCCATTCAGTTCTGTAACACTTGGAAAGTCTAAAAGAGCGGCATGGTAAAATAATTTTGTCCACCCACTCAATTTAGCGGAGGGCTAAACAATAATTAGCTATGTTGTTACACAAATATAAAATGGTGAATACCGCTAGAAAATGGAAGTCTAAGCTTTACTATAGGCTCTATTAGTAAAATAGGTTTTTAAAAAATTGTTAATCACTGCAACCATAAGAGATGCTTGAGCATGCAGTCTTAAATGCACAAAAATATTAGAGGGTTATTCTCACAAGTGAGTACACCCCTCACATTTTTGTAAATATTTGATTATATCTTTTCATGTGACAACACTGAAGAAATTACACTTTGCTACAATGTAAAGTAGTGAGTGTACAGCTTGCATAACAGTGTAAATTTGCTGTCCCCTCAAAACAACACATCACACAGCCATTAATGTCTTAACCGCTGACAACAAAAGGGACTACACCCCTAAGTGAAAATGTCCAAATTGGGCCCAATTAGCCATTTTCCCTCCCCGCTGTCATGTGACTTGTTAGTGTTATATGACAGTGTCAGTGTTAGTGAAACCGAGCTGCAGCACGGTGGCCAAGACCATACTGCGGTTCAACAGTACAGGTTCCACTCAGAACAGACCTCGCCATGGTCGACCAAAGAAGTTGAGTGCACGTGCTCAGGGTCATATCCAGAAGTTGTCTTTGGGAAATAGACGTATGAGTGCTGCCAGCATTGCTGCAGAGGTTGAAGGGGTGGGGCGTCAGCCTGACAGTGCTCAGACCATACTGCGCACACTGCATCAAACTGGTCTGCATGGCTGTTGTCCCAGAAGGAACCCTCTTCTAAAGATGATGCACAAGAAAGCCCGCAAACAGTTTGCTGAAGACAAGCAGACTAAGGACATGGATTACTGGAACCACATCCTGTGGTCTGATGATAAACTTATTTGGTTCAGATGGTGTCAAGCATGTGTGGCAGCAACCAGGTGAGGAGTACAAACACAAGTGTGTCTTGCCTACATTTAAGCATGGTGGTGGGAGTGTCATGGTCTGGGGCTGCATGAGTGCTGCCGGCACCTTGGAGACTGGGCCGCAGAGCAGTATTCCAACATGATAAAGATACCTCCAAGACGACCACTGCCTTGCTAATGAAACTGAGGGTAAAGGTGATGGACTGGCCAAGCGTGTCTCCAGACTTAAATCCTATTTAGCATCTGTGGGGCGTCCTCAATGGCCCAGAAAACTTTGGGCTCAATTAGGACATTTTCACTTAGAGGTGTACTCACTTTTGTTGCCAGCGGTTTAGACATTAATGGCTGTGTGAACCCATCCAGTTGTAGTAGGGACCAGTAGTATGCAAGATCACCTGTGGACAGACACGCACACACCACACACGACCCTCTCTGGGTTTACGCATGGCGAAGATAATTACATAAGGTGCTGTAAGGAAAGCTGATTTTCCTCTCGACTCCGGCGTTAAATGTGCATATCTGCTCTTTTCACACTAATATAATTGTAAATTTGTTGAAATTCAAATTTCTCCTCTGACTGTTCCCTGATGGGGAATTTGGGGGCAGTCAAGTTGATCAAGGCAAGACAATGGCACAACATGCTCACTATCAAAAGCAACCCTGCTGCACAATATACTCAAACAAACTCACTTAGTCATACAAGCAAGCACACTCTCTCTCGCTCTCTCTGTCTTTCTCACACAATCACAACACACACATGCACACACGTCCTGCTTTCATATGACCATTCCATTCGCACTCTGCGCAGGACACAGCAGCACTGTATCCCGGCACTCCCTCTCCTCCCTCTCTCTCTTTAATAGGTCTCTATAGGCGATGCTTTTCCCCTAAGAGTGGTGCAACTCTACAGCTCCAGATTTATTTATCTATCATTCCGATCATGAATTAAAGAAAATAATATCATATCAGTGGGTCCTCTGTCCAAGCAGCAGCTCCAGTCACTCCACACTACTCAACATGCCTGCATTTTGAGTGAGCACGGGAGAAGAGAGAGAGAGAAAGAGAAGAGAGAGAGAGTGAAAGTGTGCAATGGTTGCAGCTTCAGGGCTTGTCAGTGTTGGCATCTGCTGGTAGCTATGGATATTAGAAACTTAAAAAAAATTAAAATGAAGGGATCATGATGGCAACAAGGCACAGGCGAGGCAATAGGAGGTAGAGGATTTATCTCCTGTTGCCATCCTCTCACTCATCTTAAAGCTGTGGTTGATGAAGTAGGCTCTTAGCTAGCTGCTAGTCTAGCTAGCCTGCGTGCACTCTGATATTAATGTGGAACATGGACATGGAGGAAGGGAGGGAGAGAGAGAGAGAGAGAGAGAAGTGTACACAAGTCACAAAACTAAATTAAGAATGCAATATTTAAGCCGACACAACCAAGATCTGAACAAATTACATTAGCAGAAGTCCTTAAGTTTATCATTATCTACAGGATCTTTGTTATAATAGTTATATTGGCCATGAAATTTAGATTTTAAATTAGGCGAGGATGAAAATCTTATCTTTTCTTTTATTGCATCTCCATTTACTCTGAAATGGTACCAGAAATGGATTTACTTTTAATGGATTCACATTCCTTAGCGTCTGACCTATGAAAGGAGACAAGAAATATCCATAAAGGCCTGATGTTTGAGGACCTGATTAATTTTGGTAATGTCTTTTCCTGGATATAGAGCTAGGATAAAGGAGGTTTAATATACAAAATCGTCTCATTATTTGTGTGTGTTATTTCCCCATATAGTGTGTCAAATTACCAGGTTATGTTCCTTGTTCATTATGAAACATCGTCAAACACCTCATTGCTATGCTGATGATACTCAGCTTTATTATATTATGAAAATAAAAACAGAGGTTATTACTTTTGGCTCACCTAGTATTCCTTCAGTTCTCCTGTGCTGAGATCAGCAGTGAACTTGGTCCACTTGCAGAGAAGGTGCTGCACGCTTTTATATAATCCAGTACAGTTAACAAAAATTTTGCTAGATTGCTTTTTTGGCTACACTCCAACATCTGCTCATTTACATGAACCCTATGCTTTGCTATGTAATGTCAATATGGAATGATTTGCTGACTTGTGAAATACCCAGAAATTGACTTTCATGACTCACACCTGTGTTTTTGCCTCATGCCCACAGCACCCAACAATTTCCCTGTGTAAATCTGTGGTCAGATATGGAACTGCAGCGAGCCCCCAGGTATAGTCACCCTAGGGCACCACCACGCTGTGTTAACCTGGGCCTGTTAAACGGTGCAATTATCAATACCCCAATGTTTAAAGATAACAACGTCCGTGCTCCGAAGGAGCTCCTTCTGCTTAATTTTTTACATTATATTAAGTAAGAGTAACAGACTGGCATGTTGTGTATGGACATACCATATCGACATATGATGCTGATGATAATAATAATTATTAATATTATATTATGATTATAAATATAATTATTATAATTCAGTATTAGACAATTGCAGAGTAAATATTAAGACAATGATATATTAAAAATGTAATTTAAGATATAGTTTTATTATTTTTTATATGATATGTCCCATATTGAGATTGTTTTACGTTAGTAGAATCCTCAGCACCATGGACAGATCCTTTCTCTCTCTCTCTCTCTCTTTCTCTCTCTCTCTCTCTCTCTCTCTCTCTCTCCTAACTGTCTCTTCCGGACGCACACTCGGCAGCTGGCTGCGATACAGCTCCTCCCTCCAGTGTGTTGGCTTTCCCGAACAAAGATCCTTGGACGTGCACAGTTTCGCTGAAGAGCACTTTTCTCCCCCAAAACAACCAGACGGACAATCGAGGCGTCAGTTATTCCATATCGACCTGAGAGAAAGGAGTTAAGGTGTCGGATAAGGTCTCCAACGGTCCTTCACTCCCCACCAAATCTCTGTCAGCGATGGAGACTTGGGCTGGCTTCTGCCCAGCCTTGCACTTATCTCTGGGTATCTGGGTGATGATAGCCGCTCATACCCTACAAAATGCCAAGGCGGAGATAACTTGCGCATCTTGCACGTCGCCAATTCAACTTCACCTGGAGCAATTGCAGCTGGGGATGCGCACTGACCCGACAGAGGAGCCGGGCACCCTAAAAAACATCCGAGTAGAGTTTAGGGAACTCGGGGTCGACGACGATCACCAGACAGGCGTTTCTGTCGAGGATGTCCCCCAGTTCCCTGAAGATGCCAGTTTGGATGGAGTTAGTGCAAAGGAAGATGCGCCAGGGTCCAGTGAAGAAAGTCACCGCGGCAGTGATAAGGCGGGGGATCCCGAGACGGGTGAGGATGCTGCGCTCCGGAGGGCGAAGAGAAACGGCCCGGAGTTTGGCGAGTTCAATGAGAACGGCTGGACCGGCCGGGCTGGCATGGATACTGGCGCTCCGGAGGACCGAGGCTCCTTATTAGACGGACACAGGCAGGGCAGGTCCGATTTCAGATGGAACAGGGACGAAGGGAGAGGGAATAACCGGCAGGATGAGCCCAAGCTCACCAGCAGCACTTTCGCTCTGACAGGGGACTCTGCGCATAACCACGCGGTGGTTTACTGGTCTGGGCAAAACAGCAGCGTAAGTAACCATTAATTATTATTTTGCCTCTGCATATTCGGTCGCTTTTCTCGACTCCACATTTCACATGAACTCTTTTCTAAGAGTGGGATATTATGCGCAGCTGGGTGAACAAACTCCGTGACGCGTAGAGCAGAGACTCCGTGGTCTGTCGTGCCGCTGAGTTGTGGTTCACTGTTAACAGGTGCACTGGAAGCTACAGATGCGCACCGACGCACACGCTTCCCCAAATACCAGACTTGTGCAGCGACTATGAACTGTATTCGGCCGCGACCTTTGACTCTACCAGCAATTACGCACGAAGCCTCTCTCTTTTCATCATCATTTCTTCAGCTATCTTGTGACATTGTCCCAACATCTACACTTACTATCTGCCCATGGTCCCAAAGTCGTCCACTTTGAGTTCAGTATTTAGTTCGTCTTGAATTACAGCCTTAGTGTGAAAATATTTCTGATTTATTTGCAGCGAATTTGAAATATGTAAATTCATGATTTATTCCTCCCAAATGATGCAATGTTTTCATCCAAACTAATTGACTGGGGAAGGAGGGAGTCATAAATTATTGCTCAATCTCCAATAAGCCTTTAAATTCTTTAGATTATGAATTTCTCTTCTGTATGACTGCTTATGCTTCCCCTGAATTTGTTGGCTTACTATATCCAAAAAGAGTGAATTAATTTGGCTTTACTGACTGTTTTGGACCTTTTAAAAAATATAATAGGTGACCACAGTGTGGTGTGATACAATCTCTATATTGCAAATAAAAAGACCTGGATGCATTACCACATACTTTCCAAAGGGGGGGGGGGTTCAGTGTTTGGAGGTCAGGTTGTACCCCATCTGCATTAATCCTAAACAGAAGATGTGTGCATCCCTCAAACAATGGCGCCTTAACATATGGACTCACTGGGATTAAATGCTGCACTGTGACAGCACTTACACAAAAACATACGAAATTGAGGAAAAATATCTCTTGTTGTTATTCTAAACAATTAAAAACACTTAAAGGATGCTGCATGCTAAATTTAAGAAAATATATATATAGATAATCAACATTGGAACCTTAAAACGTTTGCTTGCTCTCTGGGTGCAGGAGTACAAAAGGTCAACTATACAGATAAAAGACAGGAGCAACCTGCCACAATAGACGTGTAAATCTTTACCGCAGCAGTCAATAGTCCTCACAATACCACTTACGGGTCTCTAAAATGACACAGACCACATTCAAGTCCATTCTGCATACGAATTGGATGAAAATCCTGCCCCTCTTACACAAGAGGGCCCTCATAGGAAGATAATAATTAGACAAAATGAATCAAAATCATTTACACAACCATGTAAGCTCACAGGGAGCCGATGGGCTCTTCTTTGTGGTTTCACAAGCTTAATTTGTTGTTGTGGCTGCTTCTCTCGCTGTATTCCATTAAAAAAAAAAATCCCACATATTCAGTCTTGTCTGAGCTGATTATGACACGGTGCATGAGCTTGTTTTTTAACCCGCAGTGAAGCGCTGTGAGGGGAACATGTATGTGTGTGCGCACATCCGTTTCTGTGTTTGTGTGACTATGTACTAGCAGGAGAGGGTGAGGAGGTCACTCTGTACCGCTCTCCCTGAGCTTTAAATCTTTAATAATTATCACGAAGATTGAGGGCTCTATTTCAAAGAAGGAAAGTCAGGCCTGGCCTCGAGAGCATCCTCAAGAGAGGAGACCTGCTACTTAATCTTCATTGGTCGTTGGTTTTTGTTCTCGTGATGAATGGAGTGGAAGAACAAAGAGATTGAGCTTGAAGTCCTCTAACTTAAACGCAGCAGTAGTTAAGTTAGATTTAGAGCAAGTGGCTGGATGACTGGATGACTAGCTAGTTGGATGGATGACCAGTTTGGTTAAAACAGATTAATCTTGAATGTCTATTCACCACCCATTGTACGCTTGTGGACATAATTTTCCATCTACAATTCTGTTGTAAAAACATTACAACATTAGCTTTCTAGATATACATTTGATAATACCACCTGTGGCATACTATAGAACAAAAATACCTTTCTCCCAATGTTCTCTGTGTGTCTGTCAGTGCCCAACATTCCCAAAATAATCATTTTATAATTAAACTTAAACAAGCTATGGTTTGGTTTTCCTGAAAAGTGATGCAAAAGTAGCGTGACAGTAGTTATAGCGCCTCAAAACCTCTTAGGAAAGAAGTTAGAGCGGTTGGGTGTACAGTGCGTCTGACAATAAGACTTGACACCACTGGTTCCACCCCACCTCGCACCAACAGTCAGCATTAGCTTCTTTCAACCTTGACCGCAATCTTTTACTTGACTTTAACCAAGTAGTTCAAGTTCAGGAAGGCGGTCCCTATCTTTAGCTAAGCAGTTTTAGCTGGCTAAACCTAGTCAAAGAATGAGGTGCCAGATCAGAAAAGGCTCATATGGGTCCGAATTGGAAGGCAGCGACAAACAACTTTTTGTTGTTGTAGAGGTTACCTTGTTGATGCTCCCACGCTTAATTCTATTAGAAAATGACCAATACTGAGCGACTGACAGACTAATTGGATGGGCGGCAGTCATGTGCCCTGTTCCACTGACCTGTAGTCAAGTTACAGATTTCCTACTTGCTCAACAATTTAATCCTTCTGGACTAAATGCCTAAAATATAAATGTAAATGAACCTCAGCTGGCTGACTGGTACCCTATTCGGTTGACTGGCCCCAGCATCATATTCACAACCTCTTTGGTCTAGAGACTTTTTCTCAGTCTTATTTCAGCCAGATTGGTCGGCCGTGTCTTGTACTGTGACTACCTCTGGGAGGACTTGATGCTGCTGTGGGTTCCCTGGGGGGTGAATGGTGTGTCCTCTGAGGCGTGTACACAAGGCTAATGCACTCTCACTGTCTCTCTGTACCTGTCCAACTTGCTGTCTCTGCCCCCGCTGCCCTACCTCTCTTTCTCTCTGTCTGTCATTGTATGTGTCTTCATGTCTCTGCCTCAGGCTTATGCAGGTTATGTCGAAGCCTTAACCTTACATATTAACTGAGAATGTTGAGACTAACTGTCATTTATAATATTCACAGGCATAATTCCAACGAAGCATCCCCATAGCAAAGTGACATGTTCTTTCCTGGAGTATCTTTGAGGCTATGTAATCCCCCCACCCTCAGCAGTCATGAGCATAATGGCATTGTGACTGACAGCCTGAATACAAAATGGATAGCTTTAGCAGTGCCTCTTTTAATGTGGTCTTGAAACATTCATCTCTTCTAAGGGAACCTTGAGATTCCCTCCTAACAGCATAATCACAGTGAATATGTTCCTTTAAGAGAACTGTGACCATAAATATTAGCACATTTAGTTAATAGCACAGAACGGGGCGTCAACGCATTGGCTGGTCTACACTATATATTCTCTCCTGTTTTTTTCATGTGGCACATGGAGCTCTCTTTGATGTCCTTCATCCGTTGGGGAGGGGTTTGAGGAAAGCATAAGGCGGTCCGAGTATGTGCTCAACTTGAGTGGTCTTTAAAGTCATGAAAACTCACGCAGAGACAGGTCAGTCATATCTGGCAAGTCATCAATAGAGCTGTGTGTGTTTGAAATTCCCAAATCCCTGTTGAGAACCGGAAGAAGCATGCAGACTCTCATGAGTGGCATTTGAAGGCAAAAATGTCATGCAGCAAGAACACACACACACACGTTCAAGGCATAAGTATAAGAAATTTAAATACAGGTAAAGATCAGACAATTAAAAAACTCACTTTTTTGAAGTACCTGTACGCAGGATAAGAGGTTGGCAATGGATGGATGGATGGACTTTTTTGAAGGATGTTGCATTCTTTCTAAACTTTGGCGCAGTTGATTAATGATTCCTCTTTTTAAAGAATCCAACGTCCTGCCAAAATTTTGTTGTAAAATACTTTATCAACCTGACTGGCTGTTGTTTGCATGTTTATTGTCATTATATGCAGCCTCCATAGTATGGAAAGAGCCCAGAGACAAGGACAAAGCTGTGTGTAGCAATTCCAACCACAGTCTCTGCAGTTAGGGGAGATGATTTAGGATGTAGAAGCAGGTCTTGTTTACGGCCTCTTTCCATCAACCCATCTCACCCCTCAGCCTAAATTACTGATGGTAATACATTATAAAGTTGTTTCTTTTCTTCACTCTCTCACTACTCTGGTGGCACTCTGCTCTGGAGAATGAAAGAGTGGAAAAAAAGGAGAATATTATAAATAATGTAGCCCTTCCAGCAGGGCCTTATCTCCCTTATTTCTCAATCTCTCCTCCCTCCTCCACCTCTAATTAGTCTCTACAAATTTATTTCCTGTCCCTTGTTTTTTTTGCATTGGAACTATGATGTTGTGGCAAGAGGCCATGTGCCACAGAACATGAATGGAGAATCCATCTTGACTGGCCTCCAGAGCTTAACTCTTGGCTGCAGTTCCCAAACAGTCAGGGCAAGGCGGAGACTCACTCTTGACCTCCTGATTCCACGCAGAGTGGTTTTAAAACATTTCATGTCAGCAAATGTTTACTATATAACCAAGCTTTCAAATTCCATTTGTTAGGAGGAGTCACATAATGTCATATTTCATTTCTGGATACCTTAATGTGTAGCGCAGATGTTAGCATAGAATAAAAAGCAGCTTTTGCGTACAAAGGTTTTGTGTTTTGTGAAAAATACAGTTGAGCATAAAGTATTAGACTAACATACAGCCATCAAAAATATCTAACCAGTATGACTGCAAACACAAAAATCCCCTTTCTTTTAACCTGAAGTTAGCTAGCTGAGCACAATTTGAGAATGCGTTTTTTAAAGGTCTCCGGTTGCACTTAATGTTATAACTCTCCTCAGCACTTCAGCACAGGAACGCTAGCACATTAAGGAAGCCATTCAGGAAGCCATCCAATCAGCATGCATTGCACCTGCTGCAGCAGCACGCCACGGATCTTGGATCACATCAAGCCGCTAAAAGCTTTGAAGCTATGGACACGTGCATAGTA